GAGGGTCTAGGTACTTTGTCATCTTCATTGATGATTTCTCCAAGAAGGTTTGGGTGTACTTTATGAAGCAGAAATCTGAAGTTTTTGCAAACTTCAAGGTTTGGAAGGCTGAAGTAGAAAACCAGGTGGAGAGAAAGGTTAAGTATCTGAGATCAGATAATGGCACAGAGTATACTGACGGAGATTTTCAGAAGTTCTGTGAGGAGCATGGCAGTTAAAGACACTTTACTGTCAAGAAAACGCCTCAGCAAAACGGTGTCAGTGAGAGGATGAACCGGACAATTGCAGAGAAGGCAAGGTGTTTGAGGTTGAATGCAGGGCTTCCTAAGCAGTTCTGGGCAGAGGCAGTAAACATGGCGGTCTACCTCATCAACAGGTCGCCTAGGAGTTCCTTAGAAGGGAAAGTCGCTGAAGAGATTTGGACTGGATAGATGTTGATCTGTCAAACTTGAAGATATTTGGATGTCCAGCTTACATGTTGGTTCCAAGTGACGAAAGGTCTAAGCTGGATTCAAAATCCAAGAAGTGCATATTTCTGGGTTTTGGAAAATGAGTGAAAGGCTTCAAGTTATATGATCCTGTTGATAAGAAGAGGGTGTTCAGTTGAGATGTGGTCTTTGATGAGCAATATATGGTGCAGCAGGCGAGATCAGAACGAGTGCCTGTGATCATTGAGACTGAAGCGGATTCTGGTACATCATAGGATGAGTCTAGTGAGCCTAGACAAGCAGCATAACGTGATGAGTAACCTGTTGAGGTGGAGCAGGACGTTCAACATAGAAAAGCAGAGGAAAGTTTGGCACTTCAAAGACCAAGACGCATCATTAAGCCGCCTGAAAGATTAGGGTTTGAAGACATGGTGAATTATGCTCTGATGGTTGGTTTAGGTGATCCAGCAAACTTTATAGAGGCTATCTCAAGTCTCAAAAAAGATTTCTGGATTGGAGCTATGACAGAAGAGAATGAGAGCCTTGATAGGAATCAAACATGGGATCTAACGTCTTTACCAAAAGGCAAGAAGACAATAGGATGCAAGTGGGTTTTCAAGGTAAAACCTGGGATGTCTGAGAAGGAACCAGTGAAGTACAAGGCAAGGTTGGTGGCAAAGGGTTACTCACAGAAGAAAGGGGTTGATTATGACGAAATATTCTCCCCAGTAGTTAGGCACACTTCTATTCGAGCTGTGCTGGGTTTAGTAGCGAGCTGGGATTTCCATCTTGATCAGATGGATGTAAAGACAGCATTTCTTCATGGAGATCTGGACGAAGAGATTTATATGGAGCAACCAGAAGGGTTTGTGAAACCAGGAGAGGAGAAGCTTGTGTGCAGACTTAAGAAGTCTCTGTATGGATTGAAGCAAGCTCCTAGGCAATGGTACAAACGTTTTGACTCCTACATGGTGAACATTGGCTACAGAAGTTGTGAGTATGATAGCTGCGTCTATGTAAGGTATCTGGACGACCATTCTCCCATATACCTACTGCTTTATGTTGATGATATGCTCATTGCTGCGAAAGATATGGAGGATATTGATAAGCTGAAAGAGTTGTTGAAGAATGAGTTTGATATGAAGGATCTTGGTGCTGCAAAGAAGATCCTTGGGATGGAAATTCGCAGAGAAAGAAGCTCAAGGAGATTATGGCTTTCTCAAAAGAGCTATATTCAGAAGATTGTAGACAGGTTTGACATGGAAGATGCAAAGATAGTGTCTACACCTTTGGCGATGCACTTCTCACTTTCAGCGATGCAGTGTCCTAAGTCTGATCAAGAGATCAGAGATATGTCGAAAGTTCCTTATGCAAGTCCAGTTGGTTGCTTGATGTATGCTATGGTGTGCACTAGACCTGATTTATTAGCACAAGCAGTTAGTCAAGTGAGCAAGTACATGTCCAATCTTGGAAGAGAACACTAGAAAGCCGTCAAATGGATTTTTAGATACTTAAAGGGTACAAGTGATCTTGGGCTTATGTTTGGTGGTCAAGAGAGTGGCTCAGTTGTGGGATACGTGGATTCAGATTATGCTGGTGATCTAGACAACAGAAGATCTACTACAGGGTACATTTTTACTCTTGCAGGAGGTCCTATTTGTTGGAGATCTGTGCTACAGTCTGTTGTTGCTATGTCTACCACCGAAGCTGAGTATATGGCAATGGGAGAGGCAGCTAAGGAAGCACTTTGGGTTAAGGGACTTGTGACAGAGTTGGGTGTTGATCAAGGTGGAGTTCAGCTATACAGCGACAGCCAGAGTGCGTTGTCTCTAGCCAAGAACCCGGTATATCATGCAAGGACGAAGCACATTCATGTCAGATTTCATAAGATCAGAGAGTTGTCTGCATCTGGAGAAGTTTTGTTGGAGAAGGTGCACACGTTAGAGAATGCAGCTGATATGTTGACCAAGCCCGTTACTGTGGAGAAGTTTAAGCATTGCTTGGATTTGCTCCATGTTTTCAAGTGCTGAAGAAAAAGAAATCCCCCGAGAAGTGATTGGAGTTTGAAAGTGACTTTATGGAGATTTTTGTCAAGGTGGAGATTGTTGTTTCTAGTGACAAAGATAAACTAGGGTCTAGTGGGCTTCATTAGGTCATGGGCTTACGCGGATTCACTTGGGAGGTGTGGTACGGTTTCCTGATAGGCTTGGAAAAGGAAAAAGGAAAATCTTTTTTCTACTGGGTTTAAGAGTCGGGTTTTTTTTTATGCTATAAATACAGGGTTTAAGGGTTTGTAATTATTCATTCACACAATTAATAATAAAACCCTAAATGGGTGTTTGCCTCAATTTACAATTTCTTTCTAAATTTTATTGCTTTCTTCGTGCTTGATTCAGAACAATGACACTCAATTTAAACTTCATCTTAGCAGAATGAATAAGATTTGATGTTGACAAAAAAAAATTAAAGTCATCTGCAAAATGTGATGAGGTGTAATTCCTTGCAAACTGCTTCCTTCAGAAGTTTTTTGAAAAACCGTGACCTATTCAATGTAGTTAGGCTCTCATCCACACTGCCTCAAAAACATATGATTGGCAGACTCTGAATCTGGATCTAATTGGGCCACAAAATTGACAGAATCCAAAAAGTTGACACTATTTTTCACCAAATCTAACAAAAAAAGGAAGACTTATTTCATGATCAATAGAAGTAAAGTGAGGTGTACCATCTTCTTCTTCTAGGATGATGATATTATCACTGTTTTGATCCATATTCTCAAAACGTACATCAAGCACAGAAATCCTAAGCATTTCGCCCATGTTTAGTCTTTCATGATATTTGTCAAAGTATTCACCAATGTCACCCTCATTCTCCATGTAATGAACCAAGACTTGCATCATCTAGTTTTCATTTCCAATTGACAATCTTACAAACAATGTAGGCAATACTAGCTCCTGCAAAGCAATAAACCTCTACAGATTATGATATGTGGCCATCTATGAAAAGGTCCAAAAGATAAACAGATTCTGATCTGTGAAAATCCATGGAATTACACTTCATCACATTGGGCAGATGGCTTCATTTTTTTACTTTTTTTGGCTAAATTAAACATCAAATCTGATTCATCCAAATGTTTATGACAAAGCATTCTTATTATCCTCAACATAAGGGATAATCCAATTAGGCATCATAGAATACAACTTAAGGATATTACTCATGAAAGAAGAAGTCTTCTGAGTTATTCAGTCTGCCACTCTATTACCTTCTCACGTTTAAAACACTATCTTATAATCTTCAGAACGGGTTAATAGGTGTTCCACACTTAACACAGGTCACAAGCCATCAAATAATGCCTCAACCATCGATATGGTAGCTGATTCGAATATTATATATATAAAAAGAGTTTTTTTTTTTTATGTTGTCACGTTAGTATCAACTTGTATACCATTTATAAAAAAAAAAAACTAATCTAATATTAAAATATGATAATTACACGTCTTATTTGTGAATATATAAATAAAGATACGATGTAATAAAGAATCACAACTAATAAATCAACTATTTCTATAACAATAAAAATCTCTAAACAATTAGTGCAGATTAGATAAAAAGAGAAATAAAAAGAGAGAGAGACAAAACGAGATTTTTATAGTCAACTTTTGTTAGCTAGTTTGAAAACTTAGCAAACCAGACAAAGAAGCAGGGACATCTGTCATATTATATGAATATGATACCCATGTTTTCGGAGGTTAATCATACCACTCTACACATAAAACATACTCTCTTTTATACATTTAGGTTCAATACATTATGTCATTATCTTACCAAAATTTAATTCTTGGGAGAGCTATATCTAAATGCCACATCGGGTTTCAAGTTCTATTTAATGTCAACCTCGAGGCTACAAGAGCATTCCTTCAACGGTAATTAACACTTAATACTTAATGTCCATTAGTTATGCCCTCTCATGTTCAAGATGATACACAAATCCACTAATTCTACAAAACAAAACCAGCTTGACTTGCAAAGAGAAAGGAAGTCACTCCATTGAAAAATACCATGAAGTCCAGAAAAATGAGTATGTCTCCATTGCAGAACTCAATGGATTTTTTGTCACATCCAACCTCCAGGTTAATTTAAAATTTTCCAAAAAATATTCTCAATATTAAACACCAAAGAAGTTGTTCATATACAAAACTAACTACATCTCTTTAAGTGTAAGAGACTGAACTATGCACCGCTCTACAAAAGGATGATGTTACATTTCCTAGAATACAAAATCAAGTAAATTAAACACAATAAATATCAAATAGATACTTTGTTTTTAACATCTCCAAATAGATAATAATGAAAAATATTAAAACTGGTAAACGTTTGCATGGAGAGCGGATCACACACTAGTTTATTATATAAAATAATTTGATAGATTACATTTGTAACCACCGAACAATTGAAATTTGAATAAACAAATGAAAGAACATTTTTGGAGTGAAAAGAAGAAAAAATCAGATAATAAATTTATCAAAGCGACCTCATATATAACGCATGCAAGTTCATAATCTTGTGATGATTTCAGTACTTAGGAATGCGAGGAGCAGCCTTGGGACCGGTAAAGTAGAAAGGACCGACGTTAAAGAGCTTCAAGTTCTTGTCGGAGTACATCGACAAGGGAACTCCGGTGAGACCCTTGTTGACATTGGTCGGGTTCTTGCAAGTCTTGATCGATGAAGTGTAGAGCTTGACACGACAGTAAGATAGGTCCTTGATGTGGGTCAACGCCACCTGGAAGTATCCCTTAGCGTCAGTTGGATTGCTGTAGATCACAACCTCGCTCTTGTTCTTCCCATATGATCCTGGTTCTGAGCACACAATCTTCGCCTTTGCTCCTATATGGAAATAATCAATCGAACTTTCTAATTAGTAACTTTGTTTTTATAATAGATATCTAACGAGGAATCGTTAATAGTATGTTTACCTTGAATTGGGTACGTTTTGTAGCCGTTTTTGCATAAGATGATGCCATCAACGGCTTTAATGATCTCTGGGACGTATGGCTTGTAGGTTGGTTTTGGTACGTATGGAGGTGGATGAGAATAGCTTGGAGACTTTTTGTAGACCGGAGGAAGGGGGGTGGGCTTGTAAACCGGAGGTGGGAGAGTTGGCTTGGTGTAAACCGGAGGTGAGAGTGTGGGTTTGTAAACCGGTGGAATGTAAACTGGAGGTGGGAGAGTAGGCTTGTAGGCAGGTGGTGAGTAAATCCGACGTGGGAGAGTTGGCTTGTGGGCTGGTGACGTGTAAACCGGAGGTGGGAGAGTGGGCTTGTGAACTGGTGGAATGTAAACCGGAGGTGGGAGAACTGGGTTGTGGAATGGTGGAGTGTAAACCGGAGGTGAAAGCGTAGGTTTATGAACCGGTGGAGTATAAACCGGTGGAATGGTGGTTTTGTGGGCAGGTGGTGTGTAAACCGGAGGTGAAAGCGTGGGTTTATGAACCGGTGGAGTGTAAACCGGAAGAGATGAGGGAGTATAGTAATCAGCAGTGGCAATGGTAGCCAAAGCAAGAAAGAGGCAAATGCCAAAGGAGGCGCGTGTGATCGCCATTGCAGAGCGCGTGGCTTGTCTTTAGCTAGTTTGTTGTTTTGTTTGTGTTCTGTATTTGGAGTGGGATGAGGAAATGATTTCATGAAATGGGGTTTTATAAGAAAACTAGATTTTGAGCGTGGATATTTGGTTGATAAAAATTATATGCAATCAATTATTATTATTAAGATATAAATTTTATATGTTAATATTTTAATAATATATTAATAATATTATGGTGTTAATCTAATAATTTTTATGTAAATAGTGAGGTTTTAATGGGGTTTTATATACAATATGTCATATTTCAAAAACATATTATTTGGTCAAAAACTTATAAGTTAATATAACCGAACCAACTAATTTTTTTTTTTATAAATCAATCAAATGTTACTTTTTAAACATAGTATTGACATGATGATAACATGTTATACATTCACTTTTTTTAAATCAAGAAGATAATTGTTTTTATTTCACTTTTATTCCAATTATATATGTGTTCTTTAAAAACAATAATAAAATTAAAAATTAATATTTCATCTTTTTCTTCATGTTCATTTTTATTCTTGTTATATCTGTTTTTATTATATTTATTTATTTAAATAATTTCTGTATGATTATATTCAGTTTCATCATATTCATTCTCACTTTTTTCTAATTATAATTAAGTAGGCAAAATAGATACAATTTAATACATACAAATTTATAACAATGAAATAACAAATTGAGCAACTCAAAACTAAGGTCTTCTACATTAATCTATTGCAATTCCAAGTCGAATATACAAAATGTATTTTTTTATCATTTTCCTATAATATATTACATGAGATTATTTGGAAATATGTTTTGCATATGTGAAAAAAATTTAGATGAATATAAATAATAATTATTAGTTATTTAAAATTTTATGTGAAAATTCTTAAAATCAAATATCTTAAACTTGTATAAGTAGCATATATTTTTTGATAGATAATAAATTAAATTTGTAACTTAAACAGTGATAATGGAGATTTTAATATCATGTTGCTTTTTTGTTATTTCTAGAGATTTAACTTATTTTTTAGTTTATTTTCTTAACCATAATATTAGAATTAGAAAACTTTTTATAATTTAAAATTTTGATATATACGAATAAAATTAAAATTTTAAATGCTGATGTGGATACTTTGAAAATAATATAGCTTTAACTGTTATTAATAATAAAATAATTTTAATTAACAATTTTTCCTATATTTTTGTATTAACAATATAATTTTATTATTTAGATTTTTTTTTTAATTTTAGTTATTGATGTGGACTAATAAAATTGATCTTTTAAATCTTTTGAGAATGTCTTTAGAGGCATATAACTTTAATTTTTTTCTATAATTATATTTTTTTGTTAACAATATAATTTTAAAACTTGAAAATTGTCTTAATTTTAAATATTGATGTGGACCAATAAATTAAATTTTAAATTATATGTGGACATTCTTAGAGACATATAGCTTTAACTTTTATCAATAATAGATTTAGAAAATCAAAGCTGGAAGATCCCACACGATACCCGTTGCAGCAAGTGATTTTGGTATCTCCTCTTTGGTTTGAGGCTTACCGAATGTATTCGGATGGTGTTTGGTCAGCTAATTGTTATCGTTGTGGTTAAGTTTAGGTTGCAAAAATCTAGCTCGGATACTTAGTCTCTTTCGTCTTAATGACGGAATCTCTTTCTCTATTTTCAGTGCTTCTTTTTCAAAAGTGTCGAGTATCAATCACTTGACATGTTTCTCGGATCGCTTGAAATTTATCATTATTCTCAAATTCTTTGGCCAAGCTTTGGAGTTTTTACGGTCTTTTTTTTTTTAATATTAAAACGGTTTGTAATGACTTTGTTTATATCTCATTTTATTATATTTTTTGTAATTTAGCTAATAGTAAAACATATAGTTTAGTCAAGTTGGTTCCTTTATGTTGTAATGATTCAATTTTTTAGTAAAACCTAACTATATATATATATATATATTTTTGTTTATTTGACATGGTTGCAAATACAGAAAAACAAAACTTAAAAATTATCATAGTTATATAAAAATGCTAATGTAAGAGTCTCTAAATATGTGTGTATATATTTAATTTAAATTTAAAATTTAAAATTTTAGTTTTTTATTATTAATATGAATTTTATATATAATTTCTTTATTTTTAATAATTTTTAAAAACAATAATAAAATTTGGAAATTTTTTTAATTTTCAGTGTTGAGCTGGACCAATAAAAAATTTATACATAATTATTTTACTCAGAAATAATATTAGAATTTGTAAAGTTTCTTAATTTACTTATTCAGCAATAATATTAGAATTTGTAAACTTTTCTTAATCTTGAATGTTGATGTGGACCAATAAAATTGCCATTTTAAATTCTATGTGGACACCTTAAAATGCATTTAGCTTCAACTTTTATTAGTATATATAAGATAAGATAAGATGTTAGGATATTAAATATGTTATAAAATAGAAAATATTATCTTCAAAGGTGAATAATTGGATAGTCATGTTTGGGATTCTGATAGTGTGATGCACGATTAGAAACATCTTCGCCATTTACAAGTTACAACCATGCATATGCATGCACACGGCGCCGACCAAATAATTGGAGAACAGGGCTGGGAGAGTTTGATCGGCCCATCAACTAGTACGGGTAGAGAAAGTTATAAAACACCTTTCTTAAACTGGTGCTATGTGCTTTTTCTAACCGATTATGAATTCCTCTATAGTCCCAAAGGACGATGAGATGGATGAGATTTAAAAAGATATCAACGTTACTTATGGCATGAAAATGAAAATTTTATTGGGTTTAGTGAAGCCATGCACTTGAATGAATGAGATGACTTTTGTTGCAAGTTAATATGTCACCCCACTGATTTTACTTTAGAGACTCATGGCGAGGATCGATGGCTAGAAAGATGGCGAAGAGACTTTTTCATGATCAAATGTAATAAAAGCCTCTCTCATCAATAAAACTCAGTTAATCAATTCAAAAACTTGTCGGATATCAATGGGGTGACATATTAACTTGTGGGATGCTTCGTTTGCTACAATCTAATTTGTACCGTATTACTTTTTACCACCTCTTATTCTTACCACCATCTTTCTTACCGTCTCACAATCTCTAACCACACACATCTATTTTTTGTCACTAAACCGAAACATTGATAAAAAAAACATAAATTGTAACTAGAAACGATGAAACAAGAGAATAAGAAAAAGCAAGTAATATTTTTTCACGGAGAAGTTCCAACTAAGTCACTCCATCACTCAAACTATAGTTCGAAGCTGGGATGGAATCTAACCAAGTCCACTATTTTTGGTCAGTTGTAACTAATAATGTTCCTTTTCTTTTTTACACCTATGCTGGCTAAAATTCTTGGGTATATTGCTCTATATTACCAACAACGAAACAAGTAACATATTAGAAACGCCATGAATACACCATAGGTTTTGTTGGAAGAGACTATTATATCTCCTTTGATCAAGCCACAGAACACACCTTGTCTGTAAAAATAAACAGAGAGATTTAAGCATATACATATCATACATTTGAATCATGTTATAAATTTAAACATACCTTGTCTAATGCTGCTACAGCAAAGACGATTGTCGTCTATATAAGTTGCCTGAACACCAATCATCCAAGATCCTATAGAGGTATCATCAAATGCATATGTCTTCAATGATCCACTGCATTTACATATATATACCAAAGAAGAGAACATGTGATGATTGTGAACGAGCGTGGAACAATGCCAGATTAGTAAGATTGTGAACAAAACCTGTTTATGTTTATATACTGAGCCAAATTCTTGGATAGTATTAACAACGATCCAGCTGCATGACGGAAGTACCTAAAGACAACGAAGGAAGAATATGAGTTTATGATGTTAAATTTCAATGAAGAACTTGACGAGTATGTATATAATATTTTTCAATCACTTACGATTTTTCATCCCCAAATTTCCACCATTCTGGCTCATACCATTGCCCTCCCCTGAAAACACCAAGACCCATGTAGATGGAGATTAGAATGTATTACTATATTTTCAAGGAGACTCAGAATTTAGTAAAATTGAGTATGATACGAACTCTTCAGCAACAACTTCGCCAGACTTCATGCACCCAATGTAAGCAGCGTCTTGACCACGCCGGCTTTCAAGTAGACCAATCAACCCCTCTATTAAAACATTTGTCACACAAATTAAATTGTTGGGATTGGATCGGAGAAAAGTTTAGCATGAACGGAATTAAACATAACTTAAGAATAGAGGAAATAAAAGAGGAAGTATCTACCAAGATCTAGGTCAATATTGTCATCAACTTTGATGTAAAACTCTGCATCCCAGTTTTGAACAGCAGCACTGAAGAAGTACTTCACTTTCTTGGGTAGCTCTTCTTGGGCCTCCTCGTGATTTTCCTGATAAACCAAATGTGCCAGAAGAAAATAACAGTGAGCAAAACTGTGTGTGCAAAACAAAAACAAAAGAAGGAAACACTTACATAATTCGATCAAGCAGGCAGCAAAAAGATCATAAAGCTTTTAATACTGTTTACTTACAAGAATCAGAAAATCTTTTCTTGCTCGATCTTCCTCGTCAATTTTTCGATCTAGGCTATCACCTCGGTTTGGACTGGAATTCTTAAAACATTCACATCAGTATTATAATCCATTTAGTGATAAGAAGCACGAGAAGATAAAAAACTTAATACATAAAACAAAAACAAAGATTTAGTCAGTGAGAAAACCTTCGACCAATCACAAAACGTATGATAACTCCTCTTTCCTCAAGTTTCCTCAAAGCATCACCTATAACGGAAAACATTGGTGATCATACAAACTATTAAAATGCCAAAACGGTTTCGATGATTCAGTCACATCACGATCTATACCTTGTGGCATCCAAGATCCTCTAAACGTATTTCGCCTCAGATGACTTCCAAAGCCAGTATAGACTCCTATCACAGCAAGCAATTTCTTCCCTGAAGACGAACCACTTTTCTTGTTTTTCAGATAGCCTTGACTCTTTGCAAGAGTCAACTCCATTTCAGTCTCAATAATTTTCCTCTCAAGATCTCTAAATTAACAAGTCACATAATGTGTTATTACCAGCAGAAAACACATTTGCATCCTCCACAATCACACAAAAACCAACTTACTTGCATCCTAAAACCATCAGCTTGTCATCCACAGTAAGAACCTTAGGCCTCTACACACCCCCAAGAACATCAAAAATTTGGAGTAATAAGAATGAATCATGCCAATGAGACGAGGTTTCAAAAACCAATTAAAGAGTGCACAAGAATGGCCAAACCTGATCATAATTCTTCTTAAGCATATTATTGAGTACTACTCTATTCTCCGCATCTTGCCATAACCTAATAATAAGAAACCAGTACCAGACTAAAATTAGAGATTGAATTGATACAAGACTAATTAGAGATTAAATACTAAGCGACTAATATAGAGATTGAACAAACAAAAAGTATAGTTTGGGGAGATTTATCGAAAACAATGATAAAAGTGTTGGATCACGATCGTTAACGATACAAATCTCTGAATCTAGAGTCATTTTGGAGATTCTATTATCGATCGAATCAGCGAAAATTGGGGGGAAAATTCGACGTACCGACCAGCGACGTAGAGCCAAGCGACGCAAGAGAAGAAAGCCATGATAACTGAAGGCTTGGAGGTATTCTGAGATTTGGAGGATCTTCCTCGTCGTTCTGATTTGGACGAAACCGTCGTGGGTAAGCTGCTCTCCATCTCAATCCACGATCACAGGAAAGAGATGAGAGAGATGAGAGGGAGTTTCAAATCTGAGAGAGCAAGCAAAAATAATGAGATAAGAGGGAGATTTTCAAAATATGGTAGAGAATCGCAAGTGAAGAAGAGAGCTCTGAATTTGTTTCGGTTTCTGTGTTGGTGCTTGGAGATTTGGTTACTCTCTTGCAGGCTCATTTAAGACTATAGAGTCGTAGCCAAAATTCTTCAGTAGGAGAACCTCTCTAGAGGTCAGAGGGTTAGGTTTTGGTTAGTTACAGCCTTTCAGGTAGGGTTGGGCGTTTTCTACCGAATCGAATCGAACCGAACCGAATGCAGATTTGGTTAACTCGATTTATCGATTTGAACAAAAAGTGTATATCTGTAAAAATAATAAACCTATATCTTGTTATGGAAAAAATTATCATGTAAGAGAATGGTTTGAAGCAAAAATACACCTGTATGGCAATATTCATACGATCATTGAAAATTGGCAATTTTTATTTTTATTTTTGTTAAAAACAATGATTAATTTCAAATAAAAATATATTTATTTTTTTGTCGACTGAAATTAAAAAATTCAGACAATATTCGTATAATCGTGAAAAATTGACAATTTTAATTTTTATTTCAGTAAAAAAATCGATAAATTAGATTTATATTCAAAAGATATCTTTAGATCTAAATTGAAAATTAGCCAATATAATACAACTTAAAGTATTTAAAGTACATGCAGATCATAAATTTTAGAGTTTTATTGTATGGATGATAGCCAAATATGAAGATCACATCAGACTGAAGAATATACTTAGCTGTTTAGGTTTAGGGTGGAAAAGAAATGAAAAAAATACCCTTACTCACACTTATCTTGGGATTTGATGGATTTGGGCCAAGAATTAGAGAGAGGTTTCTAGAGATTGGACCACTGGAAAAAAAAATTGGAATGTCACAATATAACCATGAATCGTCTGAGCTATGACACCATGGAGAGATTTTCAAAATAAGAATACATAAGGAGAAAGAACTCTGGTTTTAAGTTTAGGAAGAGATGGATCTCAAGAGAAGGGTTCCGGGAGGCAGTTTCTGTAGTTGATAACACCGTATTTTGACCAATTTTATGGATCATAATGATGTCTTATGCAGGTGTTTTAATTCTATTTTCAATGTTTTTAAAGTGTTTTCAAAATTTTAGAGTTTCAAAAGACTTTTCAGGAAACTTGGGCAAAAGATATGCAATTTAGAACAAATGAACAATTTTGGATATATGTAGACTGTCAGAAGTATGTCAAGCGATGAAGACCTTCTCACCATCTGATCACCTACAAAGTTTGCAAAAACATAGAGGATACAACCAGCTTTCTAATGCACTTGGTTTAGAGACAATTCAACAGTTAGATCTTCAGATACTTCCGATGCAATAAAGACAGAAAATGCAGTCTCGGAAGGAGAACACAAACTGGGACCACAGCCAAAGCATGTTTCCCCACGGGTAGGAGCACCGTGTTTGCGGCCAGACAACGTTCACGACCTAATTAAAGCCCAAGTCGATTCCCTTTATTATTTTTGAAGCCCTAAGTGTCCAAGACAACTCCAGAAGCTATAAATACCCTCTTTAGGTCATTCTAAAGAAAGAGACCGCAGACTTAGAGAGAGAGAAGAGATTTTCGTGTGAAAACCTAAGGAGGCCGCCGTCTTCAATGAGGAGCCGTCGAGGAGAGCATCATCCCCCCTCCATCTGCGACTCTGTTCTTTGTTCTTCTTCCCTGTTTTCTTTAATTTCCAGCAACTTTCAATATTTTGTGATGCTTGTTTACAATATGTTTAAGTAGTTTCCCAGTTGGGTTTAAAGGGAATTTCATGTGTCTTCTTCTATGAATCTATAGATTTAGGATTTATAATCTTCTAGATGTTCTTCGTTTACCTTTAATCTTACTGCGTGATTCTTTGTGGCCACTTAGAAGCCGATCTAGATATGATTTGTTGCGAAAGCTTTCATTGATTGTCTAACCTAGGGTGAAACGAGCAATGATTCTATAGGAGTGAAAACCTACCTATAGATGAGTTGTGAATGTTGATGAGTGTTGTTCAACTATTTCATCTACTTCCTTCTAGGATCAAAGTGGAAACCTACTGATCAGGGTTGCGAGAGATAGTTGTTTAGTGCTGCGAAAGTAGGCTATTCATACTTCCGTGCCTCGAGTTCTAGAACATACATAGTCGATTACCTTTATCATTTACTTAATTTTGACATAGTTTTAGTCCATGAATCCCTGTGATACCCTTGAGCCCAGCGTTTGTTTTCTATTGATTACAACCTTCGATTTTTCCCTGCTTTCATTCGCCTCGATTTTTGCTTGCTTTTACCTGTTTTCGTTTTCAACTGCTTTTGCTTGCTTTTCTTCCTAGTTTAGATTTAGTGACACCCAAAACCAAAACCCAAATTGTTTAGTTCTAGTCTGATTTAAGCATTAGCGTGAATTCGTACGGAAACAACTAAGTCTCTTTGGATCGATACCCTAAATACTACAGCGCACATCTGTGCACTTGCAGACATTTATGGGTTATAAATTTAAAACCTGAAGCTTAGTAAAAACAACAACACCCAGTTTACAATCGCATCAGTAATCAACAAGAGGGTCCTGAGAAAAAACCAATAATGCAAAGAATCTGAGAATGCTGGAAAACCATTTCCCAGTGGAAGAGAAGCTCAAAGCCTAACTCTGCAAAATGTATTCAGGAGTTACAATACCAGATTTATCAGGCAACTCAGCAATCATCCATTGATCTTAGGGCGCTTTTTATAATGAAGAAATGGTTGAGGCAGGAATATCAATAAGCGGAAATCTTTTTGGTGAATAATTGGATAAGGGAAGGGGATAGAAACACAAATTTCTATCACGTGGTCACAAAGATCAGAAGGGTTCAAAATAGGATCAAGTGTCTCAGAGATGAAAAAGATACAGACTGGTTCACAGAGAAGGATCTAGATCAGGTGGGAGAGGATATTGGTGTATGAATTCTCAATAAACCAGCCACTGTTATCTCCTAAGGACAAAACGAAAGGCTACTTGAGCCAGTTACTAAAAAGGAGGTGAGAAGAGCAGTATTTAACATCAATCCTGATAAGTGCCCGGGCCCGATGGAATAAACGGTCCCCTGTATCAGAAACTCTGGGAGAGTATGGGGAAAAACTCACCCAAATGGCTCAAGATTTTTTCAGTTTGGGAAGTTTGGAAAAGGAGACAAGCAGAACTAACATTTGCTTGATATCGAAGACGATGGGTGTCTTGAGACTCACTGAATACATACTAATAAGTCTGTGTAACATGCTCTAAAAGATCATTGCTAAACTACTAGGAAACAGACAGAAGAAGCGGATCCATTATGGCATATGATCACCAAACCTGAGACTTTAATGGCAAGAGTTTTTAAAGGTTGGTACTTCCACAAAGCGGATCCATTATCTGCCCGTTAGGTTCACATTCCTCTTATGCTTAGAGGAGCATTCATGCAGCTCAAAAACTAATAAGAGCCCGAGCAAGAGCCCGAGCAAGAGCCCTGGTGGGGAACAGAAAGATGAATAGACCCATGGAGCAGGCCTTGGCTTGGAAGTAGGCCGGCCAGATCACTTGTCTCGACACTAATGATGTCGCCTCGTCTGCAAAATGATGTCAAAGGATGGACAAACGTTAAGGAGCTCATGGAAGACCAAGGCAGAGAGTGGAGAAAAGTGGAGTTGCAGCAAATATTGTGTGAACCTGATTTGCATTAGAGGATAAAATTCAACCAGATGGACCTGAAAGTCAAAACTCTTTCTAATGGGACTATACCAAATCTGGTAAATATTCTGTTAAATCAGGTTATATGGTTTTCACTCTCACATAGTGGACACAAAGAATCCACCGGAGATAGATCCACCGAGCTTGAATGCCCTGTATCAAATGAATGGAAACTTGAAGCTAGCCTTAAAGTCCATCACATCTTATGGAAATTTCTAAGCAACAGTCTCCCAGTGGCAAGAAAAGAGACATCTAACAAGAGATCCAATGTGCGGGAGATACCAAAGTGGTAGAAAATCAGTAAATCACATTCTCGTTCAGTACCCGTATGCACGCCTGTATGGGTTGCAAGTGTTCCTTCTCCATCAAGAGGAGAATGTCGGAATCTCATTACACTAACCTGTACTGTGTAATGCCTATTCACCGACTACAACCCCAAGAAACAGGTACTCAGTCTCTTGTTCCCTGACTCTTATGGAGATTGTGGAAAAATAGGAACAATTTCGCCTTTTAAGGAAGAGACTATGGAGTCCAAGACACAGTGAGTAAGGTGAGAATGAATACTGAGGATTGGAGCACAAGAAAAGGAATTGAGATCCCACAAATGAGAAGAAAAGCAGAAAGTATAGGAAGTCACTGGTGGAAACCACCTCCTGAGCAATGGCTCAAGTGCAATGTTGATGCTGTCTGGCCAAAGGAGGGGAATCATTGTGGAATATTTTGGATATTAAGGGACCGAGATGTAAATATGATATGGGCAGGTGGAAAAGCTCTCCCACGACTAGATACAACCCTAAACACTGAAGCCGAAGCCTTGAGATGGGCTGTACATCTGATCTCTGGGTTTGGCTATCAGAATGTCATATTCGAGTCAGATTCAAAGGAAATCGTGGAGGCACTAACTAGAGATACTGTGTGGTCCAGATTTAAAGTTCCTCATGAAGATCTCTCTCAATAGCTGTCCTGCATTACCAACCACGCAATTATGTTCCATCCAAGAGGTGATGAAGTTGCTGATAGAATAGCAAGGGAGACTGTTTCTTTTGGAAATTTTGTTCCCAAGTTGTATTCTATTAATTACACCTGTTTGGTTAGGATTATTGATTGAGGTTGATAAACCACTGTAAAACTTGTTTGATTAATACAAAGTTGGAGTTGAGCCAAAAAAAGAAAAAAACACAGCTTCTCACTAAAACAAACCGTATTGTAAAAAAAACATAATAATATGTTTAGATCGCATAGAGGACTCTGGGATTTACCTTTAAATTCAGACTGTTGAGCAAATGCAACTGAGAATTTCTGTTCCCAGTGATCATCTTTTATTTTTTGTATTTTATGACCAAATCCCACTAATAAGTACTGATTAACTCTCATCTAGAAATGGACAATATCAATTATAGACTGAGGTTTTTGAATTGCAACTGCATAAACTCAAAAATCATAACTTATAAAACTTCTTAGTTATTTTCCTATTTCATCACTGTCCTCGAATACTAAACTACATTTTCCAATTTCAACTGTATTGTTTACAAAACTGTACAATAGAATTCTGGGATTCAAACATTATAACTTGCATTTGTTCGCAGAAGCACAACCATTTTACTA